ATAAAAAAAAAAAAAAAAAAAAAGAAAAAGAAAAAAGAAGAAATAAGAAAGAAAAATAATTTAATAGTAATAACGTGCAAAACGAACGTAAGTTTCTTTTCTCTTTTGTACATTTAAAAATGGTTACTCCTTTAGTCCATAAGTTTTATTAATAATATGGTATGTACACATATACACAATGTACAGAAAAACCCGTACGCTGGGTCTGAATATGTCCGCCATATGTTTTTTCTTTTTTTTCTTCGTTTCCTATCATACAACGAGCGTGTAGGTAGCAGTAGTAGAAAGAGTATACAAATAAAAGATTAGAAAAAGACGACCGATCGGGGATTTGCCCCCTCGACAGGTATTTTAGAATACCGAAGCACGATACTCTCTCCCGGCTTCGGTTAATCCGCGATCACGCGACACAGCGTGTGTAAAAATAAAGTACAATACAACCGCCTGATTTCAATGGAATCCGTGTTTTATATTACGTATTTCATGTATATGTGTTTTACTTATTGTTTATGTTTAAATCGTGTGTCCGTATGTATGATGTATGCAGAGGAAGCATGATGATGATGATTGTGTAGATAGGTATGCAATGTATGTATATAGCGTGTAAAACATATATTTTCTGTATATGTGTTTTGTTGTACTTCAAGAAACGCGAAAATGTTCGCGACACAAGAAACAATAAAAAAAAGAAAAGGCAATCGAGCCTAAGTACAAACCCAAACCGGACACAAAAATCTCTCTCGCAGTTTTCCTTAACGTTTATTCATATATATTCGACAAGAACCATTTTTATTTTTATTTTCCTCGCGCATTAACCGTTCTATGATTATCCCATATATACACGTGTGCACCGAACGCCAGCATGTCAAAAATTGCCAAAGACTTCTTCTCAAGACCAGTCAAAAACCAAATTGTTCGTTGAATGAACAATCGATCGAAACAATAAGTGTTGTCTCGGTGAACAGAAACCCCCAGCGAGCACGCATCGCTGAAAAAAAATCGTCCACTTTCCCCGACAACAACTTCAACAACTTCATTATTTAATTCCAATTTACACCGACAACGTCTTTGGCTCGAATCGAATAATGTTGGCAACATCGTCGCCAAACATTTGTCACTATTACCAAAAAAGTATTTTTTTTTTGGTTGAACCTTCACGGTTCCACCAATGATCAACCCTCGTCAAAGAGGGTGCAAAATTTGAGACCCGTTTTAAAACAGCATGAGGATCTTTAAGTTTCTCTCTCTTTCTTTACTTTAAGCCCAGAACCTGTGGTGTCGTCGCCCAAGATAGTGGCTATCTCGCCTTGCATGAACGCCCATGGCACCTGGCTGTTTGCCAGTGGACATTTCTCTCCACTTGGGCAATAAACCTGAAACAATTGGAGTTAACGGAGGATTAGATTGTCACGTTAAACGATGATTTATGGTTCGTTTTAGATCACATATTTCAGGTAGAAATTCACCTCTGAGCCAGCCCCCTGTCTCTTTATGCTCTCTCGGCTACAAGGGAAACAGAATTTGTGATGTGGTACGCTGGGACACTGAACGAAATGCGTGTCCTCGAGACGTTCTTGACACAGGGTGCATTTTAATATCGGCGCTGATACTTGCTCGGCTCCAGCGACTTGTGCGACTGCTCCTTCTGATGACGTTGTCACAGTTGTTGATGACACGTGCCTTGAACCACTGGACCTCCTACCCGAGGATGCTGTAAACGTTTAATATACACACAATTTAACTCCAGTAATTTTATACTTAGTAGCAATTAATCTTCAACTTATATAATTGAGTCATTGGTGACCATTCAATTTGAATTGAATTTAAGCTATTTAATTTTCCAGCACATAATTTTAATTTGTACATCTATACAAAATAAATACCATCGATGGTCTTCATTGTTATAAAATGTAAAATTTAAAAGCTCAAAGATAATAAAGTTGAGAATTCACACAGAAAAGAAAGAAGAAGAAAATACCTGTACTGTTCGGGCTATGCTGCGATCCTCTGGAGGCACTGCGTTGCTGAGCGTTAGTCGCTGTGGTCGGTGGGCTTCTGCTGGTCGGGCTCGGGTTATTCGGTGGTTGTGGCACCGATTCTGGCGATGCTAAGTTATCAGCGACTGACATGAGCGCAGCCATAGGTGACGGGCCATTTGTCGATCCCTAAAATATATTTCTATCGATGTACGTATCGAACAATATGCAAATGATATTGCATTGTAGACGATCAACAATATTTTAGGCCAAATATATATAACTACTTCTTTTCGATTCATCTACTATTTTTCGCGATAATAGGACACACGTGTAAGAAATTTCAAGTAACCTAATCTAAAGTATTGTAATCATATTATGAGCCAATTACGATATCAATTGACAGTTAAACGTATAAACAAGAAATTCTTAGATGAGTATCGTTATCTCCGTAGATGTATTCATACACATGGTCGTTAACCTCTTGCGTTGGCAACTGGCTGACGGACCATAACGAGTGACCAAACCGTATACAATAATTTGTCGCTTTCTTTTTGAGCTCGTCGGTATATCACCGGATAGAAATTATTACTAAGAAGTAATGAATTTATCATCTGTTTTGCTCGGGATATATTTAAATATATTTAAAGCTGAGAAAATATTGCAATTTTGGGACAAAAATTCTCGACGTGTGTGGCACGTTATTCCAGCGCAA